GCATAAATTACCATATTTTGCCTATTATACCCTGTATAGAATAGTTAATTAATCTTGTCATTTATTAATAAAATTGACTTAAGAAAACATTAAATAAAGGTAGAAGGATAAAGTTACATCATTTCTTAATGCAAGTGCAAGGTAAAAAGGTAACATATAAAATTGGACGGGGGAGTAATAAATATAATCTCTCCCAGGATATTCACTCATTCATGAAGAATTTAAAGAGATTGAATATATATGTATAAATTTACTTATTTAAGTAGTGTAATATTTTCAAGAAAGATGTCAATTGTTAATAATGATTGTTCTGAATTAGGTTAGCTTCGTCATTCTAGAGTAAGCATTACTCTAATTTCTAAGATTACTGTAATTTTCAGGATTAATGAAAATGTTGAAAGCTATGACTTCGTTAAATTTTTCAACAGCAAAACTGATTTTACTTATATAGTTGTCCTATAGTTTTTGTTGGCCTTTTGGTCTCAGTTTTTTCTCATTTTTCCTTACAAAGTCGCAACTTGTCTTGTTTCTGTTACAACGTCTGTGACTAAGGGTGTGTTCCTTATCGAGGAATTTTCAATTTTTTCATGTTCGTTTGTATAAATATTTTGAATAATATTTTCTCTAGGAAAATAAGTTATTTTAAAATATGAAATTTCATAAACGACATTTCATATTGTGTTTTTTCACCCTTCAACGCACCCCATTTTCATCCTCACATCTGTATTCCCTACCCCTTTACCGTATCCACACTCTACCTTCCATAATATTTATCTAAACTATATCTTAGAACTGTAATTTTTGCTTACCAAACATGAAAAAACAATTAAAAAATTACTATCTAAAAATACGTTTTTTTCAATACCGAACACACTCCAAATTAGTCAAAGGGGTCCCAATGAAGAAACCTACGATTCGTTGAGCATTGTAGGGTTTCATATTTTTTTAAAAAAAATAATTAGTACTGACGTTGTTTCAATTAGTGTAAATGTCTTTAATTGGGCACAAAATTAAAGTGAGAGAAAAAAATATTTAGAAATTTATGAATCTTATTAAATAATGCTATATAAATTGTAATGGAGGAAGGAATTTACTAGTGTTCAATCAATATTTTCAAAGTTACTACCAAAAGATACACTATAGTGAAGTGAATGAAGTTGTTTCTTCCTTAATCGAAGATCTTAAATTCGAGCCGTGTATATAGAAAAAATCCTCATGTTCAACATTGGACGGAAAAAAAAAGGTTTTCAAAGGTTGGGAGAAGTTGTTGGATATGCTTGGAGGATTGAGGCATCAAGTTGGTTGAGATATTTTGACTTTTTGTTTACCTACAACAATAATTGTTGCATGACTCCAAGAGATAGTTGTGGGCCATTGGGTTCTCGTTTGGTGTCTACTTTTGGCCCATTATACCAGACACCTCACATATGCTTTCTTATCCTTTACTACTACTCCCTCCGTCCCTATTTACTTGTCCATATTTCCTCTTTTAGATGTCCCTATTTACTTGTCCATTTTGACAAATCAAGAAAGGACAAAAAAAAAAATTCCTATTATACCCTCGTTTAAACTTCTTGAAAATTTAAACTTCCCCAACATTGATTAGTTATCTTGAATAAATTTATTTTGGAATCATAATTAATAAGGGAAAAATTGTAACTTCACTATGCTAATCATTTTTGCCTTAATAAATGTGTCATTTCTAAAGTGGACAACTAAATAGGGACGGAGGGAGTATTATTTGGCCCCTAGACAGACACGCTTGAAAAAAAAATTAAATCACATCATTCACTTTTTTTAAAAAAATTCTCAATATTTTTGGGAACATACAGTCGCCATTCTTACATTATTACGTAATTTTTAATTTTTGCAATTATGTCTTATTATTAAATATTTTCTCTATCGCCCAATGCATGATTCATTCGGAATGACAATCTTAACACGATTTTTTTCATATTCAGAGTTCGAATCTAAAACATCTGATTAAAGACAGGGGCAAACCGACCCTATGCCATGGGGTGCCATCCGACACGGCTTCGTCAATTTTTTTTAATATTATGTTATATAAATCTGAGAAAAAACCAAAACATTAGTAAAAATAATGAAAATGACACTTCTTGCACAATTGTGTTGCCTTGGCGCGTTGGTTTGACATGTGGCTGGAGTGTATTAATTCTCTTAACTGGCCAGGTCCAAGTCTCATCAAGAGCTAAAACAAATTTATTTTTGGCTTTTTCAGTAATTACCATTTTTTTTATTAATATAGTGTTGTTATACCAACTATTTTATTATTAAATATCGACACCGCTTACAGAAAATCCTACGTACACCACTGAATTTAAAGGTGATGCATTTTCACAACTACACCACAACCCATGTTGAAAATTGTACTCATATTACATAAATAGGAGCAACTTAGTTAATTTATAGGGATAAGGGTCTGAAAAATACCTCAACTTTGGTCGAATTTGTTGTTGCGATACTAAACTTTCATGAGGACCTATTACCTCCCTAGACTATTTAATACCGTATTTTAAACATATATATTTGCCCACGTAGACATAAAAAATAATGCATTATTATAAATAGTAATGTGTCCACGTGGGTACATATATACCTTTAAAATACACTATTAAATAGTTCAGGGGGTATAAAATACGGTATTAAATAGTCTAGGGAAGTAATAGGTTCTCATGAAAGTTTAGTATCGCAACAACAAATTCGACCAGAGTTAGGGTATTTTTCAGACCCTTACCCCTAATTTATACAAGTGGAAAGGAAAAACATATATAAAATGTGACATGCATAATTCAATGATTCAATGCAAGTTGAAAGAGAAAACATTTATAAAATGTGAAAACAAGGTGGCTACTTTCAATATTGAGGTAGCCGACACCAAATAATGAGTTGATTTCATGTATTGATGTAATATCAGTTTTAAACACATATAGAGTATGAAATTGAAAATAGTTCATTTTTCCTATGAGAGTCATTAGTCAAGTGTGTAATTGATGTTAACGTCCTTGTAAATGTGATATCAAATCCGGGAAAAAGATTCTTCAACTATATCAACAAACGTTGGAGTGTTTAACCATAATAATTCATTAAAAGAGGTAATTTTTTTCGCTCGAAATTACTCACAACAAGTTAAAATAACTTTAATTTATATTCATGGCCAAAAACTACTATATTTTTCTTCAAATTTTATAATAAAATATGACCAAGCGTCTAATTTTAATTTGCACATACTGTCATTAGTGAGGAGTATTGAAAACACTCCTAAACTAGGCGTGCACTATTAGTTTCATCCTCGAACTATTGATAGCCATAAAAACACTCATTTACGTGATTAACTGAACTTAAATACACCTCCAATCTTGCAACACGAGTAAAATACATCCCTAAATTCTCGTCAAGTTAAGGGGTGTTTTCAACACTTTTCTCGGTTTTTTATTAAGAGTCACATGCAATACAAGAATTTGAGACCACTTGATATATCATGTGGCAGATCGGGGTGTATCTATGTTTAGTTAGTAAAGTAGAAAGATGTTTTTAAGGTTGTCAATAGTTCGAAGATGAAACTTAATGTGTTTTCAAATATTTTTCTTAATATGAAATGAGACATTAGAAAATTTTGAAAGTCATCTGTTTTGAATTTTTATTTTTGTGGTCTATGCAAAGAAGAAAAAGACAGGATGTTAGTAATATTTGTGGATATCTGTGAAAATCAATAAAAGAGCTGTGAATGGACCCAAAGAGGGCTTATAGTTAACGGGCCCTTCCAAATATAATTGGGAATTCTACATATTTGGCATCTTGGTAAGGGCTTTTGTTACCATATTTGTATTTTAATTTTGTATCTGCCCGTTTTCATTTTACCAAGACATGTTTGAATGAAAATAAGTTAACAAAATTAAGAAAGATTAATAAAAGTCATTGTTTTAAAAAATCCATAATGTAAAGCTACAAAATTTATGACGTTAAAAGTAAAAATTCATAATGTATCAAATCAAACTGAACATCTCGGAGTAACTATGAATTTGATGATAGGAAATTCATCTTTTGGAATGGTGCTAGAGAATTTTGAAAGTCTAGGCTTTTTATTTGGGCCATTCCTTATTTGGCCCAGAGTGATGTTACAAGAAGACCTAGGGTCTAGGGATGACAAATTAAATCCATATAAACATGATATGTCTGCTTGGTCATTGACCAACACATTTATTAGTTCAGCCCAACATATTTTAAATAATTTAAAATTTAAGCTGACATGTGATTAAACATGACATGACATGAGTTCAACCTAATCGAGGACATGATCTTAGATGAGATCATATGGAGGACACATATCATGGTAGATGATTGGTTGGATAGTTGAGAACTATCTTACTTATTCTTCCATGCTAGTAGTCGTATTTTTACACCAAAAGTTTCTTATTATTCATGTTACTATTAGTACTATTTAATGCATGTTGCACTTCAATTATGAAATTATTTTGTTTGTAGTTATCGTTCTTTTTTAGTATGTCATGTCATGCTTTTAGTATTTTGTTTTTTACTTGTCAACCACCAGCAACAAGCAAAATGATTTTGAACTGTTCGATTGGAATCATCATACTTATTTTTAACAAATCCATCTATTTGCTGTTACAAAGCAAATCTATAATTTCCATGAAGAAAGACGCTTGGACTAGATGTTCATGTCTATGAATTAACAATATCAACTGAATTTCATCATTACTACTGTATCTAAATCCCAAGTATGAAAGACTCATGAAAAGGACACTCAAAGAACAAAGTCAGTCCAGTTAATTTACAGCCCATAATGAAGAAAATTAGCAAAAGGCAATAGTAGTATTAAGGAAGAAGAGAAAGTATCATACCTGTAAAGCAGAGCTAATATATGAAAAAGCAGAGCATATTAAAAGCGAAGGGACATGCCGATTCTCCAATTGTATGCGACTTTTCGAACATTCTCATCATTGTGCTTCCTCCTCTTTTTTCCCCTTTTATAATTCTACTAGTCTTTACGCCAATATAGCCAATCTGTTTAGATTCTAAAACATATGGCAGTTTCGCCGGAAACAATGCCGGATAATTCCTTCATCGATTTCCGTGCACCACCGCCATCTCCGATCGCCTCAGGACGCCGATCCTGTGTTAGGAACGATGAAGTCCTCACGGAATTTCTGCAAAATTCGTTAAGAGTACCAGACCTCGTGCTACCTGATCGAGTATTCCCGAGGCAAAAATCAATTCACAATCCGTCGAAACTCGATTTTCAGTCATTAGCGTCCTTGAACAATGACGCAATCGCGAAAATTCTGGATTCAGTTGCGACGATTGGATGCTTTGAGGTTGTTAACCATGGAATTTCAGGAGATCTGATCAAATTAGTTTTGTCTGCCGGGGACGGAATCTTCGGGATTTCGCCGGAGAGAAAGGAAAAATTGACAAGGTCATCGGAAAAGGCATATGGATTTGAGGAATTTCACGGAGAGGAGGAAAGAGAGACGAGTGAAGAGTTCGTTTGGTGCAGAGGAGATCAAAATTTCAACAAAGAAATGGAGGGAATTTGGCCTCTTGGATTTTCGAATTTCAGGTAATTAAATTCATCAATTTTGTCCCCTTTGTAGTAAGATTGATAATAAATTTCATATTTAGCGGTAATGTTTGTTAATTCTAGGATCCAATGATCAACCTCTAATAAATACCAAGGCTTGTAAGCTCACAAGCCATGACCATATTGTTTCGATTCAATGGTTAATCCTTGTGTTTTGATCAATTTAATATGATTTAATTATATTCTAATCAAATTGAATTTATTTATGTAATTTTTTTGCATGTAACCAATGATTAAACCTTTAACTATATGGTGACCCAATGATAATTCTTATACTTATGCCAAATTATTTGCCATGACTCGTGAAGACGAGTTGAGAGAAAAAAAATGTAAACAAAACTGTTGGTTTGAGAGGGACTATGGGGTCGTTTGGTTGATGGTTAGGAAAGTGCATATAAGCTTGCTCATAAGTCATATCTAATTTGACTCGCTCATTTGCCAACGTTATTAACATGTTTACTTTGATAAAAAAATTGGCTCCATCACTAAGCAACATAATTTATAATCTCAAACTGAAATCATTGCAATCACGTGCTAGCTATATTTTTTTCTCTTTCATATAATTATTGCTCTTCATGATTCGCATGCGTGCTAAACGATGACGACTTTCAATGTGAAATATTCTAAATCATATTAGCTGATAATTCACCTAGTCGATCGAAACGTTCGTACTAATAAAATTATTCAATTTCAATGACAGTGAAAGGATGGAAAAAGTTTTGGATGGCATGGAAGACATAGCTGGAAGAATCCTACAATTCCTGCAGCAAAATACTCCTAAAAAATTAATCAATGAAAATATCGATGAAATGCAGGACGAAAATGGGGATTTGCCAGCAACCTCCATCTGTTATCTACACAAGCATAAAGGAAGTTTAAAAGGAGATGAAGAGTACATGATGAACACCTTACAATATGATGTGATTAGAATGTTGATAAGAGGATCTGAGTTTCCTCATGCATTGTGTTTGCATGTTAGCAATGGATGCTCAGAGTTTCATGTTTATTCTAAGAAAGGTTGGGTCTCTTTTCAGCCTGGTAAAGATTCACTTATCGTCACCATCGGAGATCTCTTACAGGTAATAAATTTCAATGTCTATGAGTATATATATCCTTCTAAGCAAAATGAACTTGTTGTCACGATCCACTGAGATTAAAAACTAATAAAATGTCACATAATGATCCATTATGACGGCCATTATTGTGTTTAACTTTAGGCCTTTTGCTTTTACTAGTATCTTTCTTTTCATATTCTACGAACATCATAAGGGCCCCTTAATTAACCACTTTGTTCTACCATCATTTTAGATTAAAAAAATGGAAAAGTTAATGATAACTATCATTCTTGGATTTGTAATATTTCACTTGAAGTCTTTAAGATTTATGTTTTTATTTTCTTTTCATTTTTTAATTTTAATTAATGTATTGAATTGTTTTAGAGATGGAGTGGTGGACAATACAAGCATGTGATAGGAAGGCCTGTTTATCAAGGTAAAACAGAGGATTGCGTATCCATGGCTTTACTAATTTCTCCTCCTAAGATCGTCGAAGATAACCCTACTAAGCATGAACATGAACAAGAGAAGACCATTTCAATTGGGCAACAAATTATTATCGCGATAGCATTTATTCTTATTTACAATTTCTTCATTTATATCTATAAGAAGCTTTGAAGAGTTGAAGATTTTCTATGATGTGTCTGATACAGAGCATTTCAGTTTGCCTTTTCATTTCCTTCTCTTTATTTTTGTTGTTGTTAGATTGTACATGGTTTTCGGATATGTTTTGTCAAATATATGAGATTTAAGATTTTGATCATGCTATTATCTTTATTTAAATTTCTCTCATATAGATGTAACCAACTAGAAAACTTGAAAATTAGTTATCTAACTAGAAAACTTGAACAAGATGTAACATTTCACCCAGGGGACGGGGGAATTGGTTATTGCTAGAGATAGAGAAATACAGTTAATTAGGCATAGACACAAAGGCCAAATGAACAGTTCTGACCAGGAGAGCATACATTATAACACTTGCCACAATTTCCGTTGTCTTTCTTGATGTCCACACAGATCCCACCGCAGCATCTTGTTCCAACGATACAAACGAGGCCACAGGAGCCACAGTTGAACCTGTTGGTGAACAAATCAACACAAAAGTAGTCGAAACAACATGTACGATGTTCTGATAGTCTCTTGCAAGTTTTGCAGATCAAGTCATCGTCATTAGAATTATCTGTGCTCGTGTATTTTCCTAGCTGTGTGGGAGGAGGAAATACAACTTTTTGTGCAGAAAGAGCAACGTTGGTGTAAGAGTTTGTAGTTGAATATCTATGGTTTGCCACAGATCCGGATATTATGGTAATTGGTTTGCAAGAAAGAGCAAGGATGACGATGAGAAGGATGATAAGATCCATTATTGACTCTTGTGGTTTCTGCTGAACTGCTACAAGGTTTTATAAATAATAGAGTATGGCATGAGAACATAATTTCAAATACAAAAATCTAGGGTCCATGCACAAAGAATCTGAAATAACATGGCTTGTTATGCGATAAGTCAAAGTTGCATAATGCACAAGTATAAGCCCCTTAGTAGGTGAGGAACATGAATGGAGCTAGTTGATAAATGTCAAAACCTATGCATTTCACTTTTTGAACTTATTGGCACCTGGTGCTAGTGACAGATCTTGGAGCCCAAATTATAAGGAATTACTTGGAAGGTTGAACTTAAATCAAATGTGGACATCCATACAAGTTACAGTAGGGAAATATTGATTTATCAAGTCTACGTTGCTTTCACCCGCCATCTGTCACACAACTAAAATTTGCACAAGACTTTTGATTGTTAATTGAAAAGATCGCACCAAAACTCAAAAAGTGAAAAGAAGAAAATGAAAGACACATACGTCTTTATAGTTTAGTAGAACATGGTTGTGACAAAATGAATTTTGCATCATTCTTACTATTTGAACATGAGGAATCAGTTATACCAAGTATAAAATCCTAATCGATCTAAAATTAGCAATATGGATCGTTTGAACTGATATCAGGAGATGGAATGATCTTACAAATAATCTCAAAACATAATAACATTTTGATGCATCAATCTTTCCCATGTTTGACTACTCAGAATACATGATCGGGGGTTAAAGTCTTCACAACTCTGGTCCTTGATAAGTTTTCGGAGTTGTTCTAACTGCTAGAGGACTCTTCCCATGTTTGACATGATAAATTCATGTTGCATCACGAAAACTGGCAGACAGCCTCGTAATTCTTGATAAGATTGTGCTACTGAAATATCTCTACTACTTGCTATATCATACTATTGTATAAGCCTCTAGCTAGGTGAATCCAGCTGCTATCCCCTAAATATGGGGATCATCATTTTCCTCGTCCGTCTTTGGCTTCTCTGTAATATAAGCCTCTGTAATTCTCCACACAAAACTCACCGGCCATATTACCATAATTTTCCTTCTGAGCATCTGGAAACATGCTCAAATTGGGGTTCAAATACATTAATTCTACTGGAGGATGAAATTTCACTAACATTATGGGTGTGTTTGGTATGAAGGAAAATATTTTCTGGAAAATACTTTCCAATTTTCTCATGTTTGATTGGGCTATAAATGTTTTGGAAAATGTTTTCCAAATCAACTCATTTTCCTCAAATTTAAGGAAAATGACTTTCTTTCAAAACTTAAGGAAAACATTTTCTAAAACTCTCTTCCAACTTCAAATTACAATTATTTTTTTTGTTGAAAAAATCAATTTATTTTGTCTCTACCCTCAAACCACCCCCCAATCACCCCAACTCATTTTCCTCAAGGAAAATGACTTTCTTTCAAAACTTAAGGAAAACATTTTCTAAAACTCTCTTCCAACTTCAAATTACAATTATTTTTTTGTTGAAAAAATCAATTTATTTTGTCTCTACCCTCAAACCACCCCCCAATCACCCCCCCCCCCTCCCCCTCCCCCAAAAATAAAATAAAATTTTAAAGCTTGTTTTTAAATCCAATTTTTTTTACCCCACCCTCACCCCTACCCCCTCCCCCTCCCAAAAAAATATAAAAAATTATTTTTAAAAAATATTTCTAATTTCAATTTTTTATTTTTTTACCCCCCTATCAGCCCCCAACCCCCTTCAAAAGAAAAAAAATATAAGTTTGTTTTTAAAAAATATTTTCACCCAGCCCCCTCTCTGGTCAACCCCCCCCCCCCCCCCCCCCCCCTCCAAAAAAAAAAAAATATTTACAAATTCAAAATTTCATTTTTTCACCCTACCCTCGACCCCCCACCCACCCCTACCCCCAACCCCCCCCACCCCCCAAAAAAAATAATTTTAAGTTTGTTTTTAGAAAATATTTCAACTTCAAAATTTATTTTTTCACCCTACCCTTGACCCACCCACCTCCTACCCGGCCCCCCCACCCCCCACAAATAAAATTTAAGTTTGTTTTTAAAAAATATTTTCAATTTCAAATTTTCATTTTTTCACCCCTAGAACCCCCACCCACCCAACCACCCCCTACCAGCCCCCCACCCCCTCCCAAAAAAAAATAAAAAATTTCAAGTTTATTTTTAAAACATATTTTCAAATTCAAAATTTCATTTTTTCACTCCTACCCTCGACCCCCACCCACCCACCCCCTACCAGCCCCCCCACCACCCCCAAAAAATAATTTTAAGTTTGTTTTTCAAAAATATTTTCAATTTCAAAATTTCATTTTTTTCACCCCCTATCCACCCCCCCACCCACGCCCAAAAAAAAATTTAATTTTGTTTTTAAAATATATTTTCAACTTCAAAATTATTTTTTTCACCGCAACCCTCGACCCCCCCCCACGCACCCCCAACCAGCCCCCACCCCCCAAAAAAAAAAATTTAAGTTTGTTTTTTAAAAAATATTTTCAACTTCAAAATTTCAATTTTTCACCCCTACCCTCGACCCCCCACCCCCAAAAAAAATTTAAGTTTATTTTTAAAAACTATTTTCAATTTCAAAAATTATTTTCTACTCTAATAAAAATAAAAGATATTTCTCAAAAATATTTTTCATTCATAAATCAAACACTAAAAATCTTTTTCGAAAAATATTTTCTACTCACCAACCAAACATGAGAAAATAAGTCAAAAATCAACTTGTTTTCCAGGAAAACATTTTTCATGGAAAACATTTTCCTTCATACCAAACACACCCTATGTTCTACAACATAGACCAACTTGATCAATACTGTGATTCAGCAATTCTTATTCTTTTATCAAAATTACACAAACATACAAGTTAAAGAATGAAATAACACGATTACACACTACAAATCAAAAGCAGCAGCTTGACTAGGAAAATAAATAAATAAATAAAGAATGTAGTTACTATTTCTTACCATAGATGGAAGAATACAGTGTAGTCAAGGTTAGTAAAAATCCAACCTTGTTTTAACAAATCTTTACCTAATACTCTGTATCACTTATTAGACGCCTATGTCGATTGTAATGCTTCTCAATGAAGACCTTTGAAGCCCCTTGTACAGTTCTGCGCCAAGTCTATGTACAAGAAAGAAAGAAAAAAACAAGTGATTTAGAACAAATTTATCAGTATATCATAACAATTGCAGATTTGAAACTATCTGATACAATCCGTAAATAACTAATCCCACCATAAGTTATCCCAACCAAACCTGAAATAAACTCATCCTAAAACTATGTGTTATCCTCGTAGCAAAGGAGCCCTAAATATGATGAAATTAGCTGACTCTGTTATTATTTTTGCTAGAATGCACTGACGAATTAATCTTTATTAAAGGCGTATTTGATGATTAAATCGATCAATCTGCTATGAAATTAGCGGAGCAAAAATAGCAAGTGATGAAGAATGAATTACTCTAACCTTCTCAATAGTACCAAAAAAAGATCTGTTGTTGAGATTCCTAGCCCTAAGCTTTGCTTTTACAATCAACGCCACGGATCTTTGAGAAACTGCGGGAGGTAACAGGGATTTCCTTTCGCCGAAAACATGATTAGTAGTATCAACTTTGGTTTGTAGTGTTCTTTTCCTTCTTTTAGCTAATCTGAGCTCCTTTTTACCTTCTAGTTCAGAATCCATCTCAGCAAACTTCCTCAGTAGCTGATCTGATGATGCCTTTGTAACATGCTGAATTTTACCACCATTTTCTTTTGCAGCTTCCATTGATGATTATGTGAATTGTGAAGAATAGAGAAGAAGAAATTAATAATAGCTCAAAAAACAAAAGGAAACAGAGAGAGATATGTGTTAATTGTGAATTGTGGAAGACGACGAGTTTGTCTCAACAACGGTTACTATGTGCCTTAATATGCGCCAAGAGTCGACCGTTGGACAATAATTTATATCTTTATTAAAATTAAAGTGATTTTTTTCCTAACATTGAAGAATAAAACCCTCTAGTTATTTAAAAGTGTCAAAAACAGCTCATTAATTATACTATAGAGTCACATATGCTCCAACCGTTATTAAAGTGGGCAAAAGTGCCCATGTTTTGAAAGGAATCTCAAAATCAAATATAAAAGCATTAGGATATTTATAATTGAGATTAATTTGATATGTATTATTTAGTTTAGTGGGTTGGGCTGAGTCCGATTTAAAAAATAGAGGCATATTTGATCTTATAGTATATACTTAGGATAAACTTAGCTAATACACGAAGTAAAGAGATATATTTATGACATTTTTTCATGCTTCATACAAGAAAATGTCTATATAAAATAAGTAAATTTAATTGGAAAAAAAAAGTGTCAGGGACGAGCCCCCACTTCCACAGATCCTTACATATATAAGAA